TTCACAATTTTGGTCCGATTTTGATGAAACATGACATACATGTTTATAACCCAAAGATCTTGGTTAATTTTGATATTTGCACATATCGGATCGTAACTGACTGAATTATGGCCCCTGATTGTACGAAAAATCACGTTTTTAGCTTGTAGACCCTCTAGAGTTCACAATTTTGACCCGATTTTGATGAAACTTAAAATGTACGTTTAAAACCCAAAGATCTTGGTTCCTGTTGATATTTGCGCATATCGGATCGTAACTTCCTGAATTATGGCCCCTGATTGTACGAATAATCACTTTTTGTTTAGCTTGTTCTCTATCCATCTCTTGCAAAATGTGGGCGTATCCTGCCTGGCAGCCGCTGGTTAGCTTGTGGATTCTCTAGAGGTCACAATTTTCTTTCCGATTTTATAAACCGTTTAGATACATCACCATTCCACTATAATGAAGGTTGAATTCGAATTTCGGGAAAATCGAAATGAAACTGCCCGACAAAATGGCCGCTCTCAGTATGCAAATTGTGTATAAGTATGTAACACAAAGCTTATGGACCTTAGAGGTCACAATTTTTATCCGATTTTGATGAAACTTAAAACATATCTTTATATTCCAAAAATCTCAGTCCCTTTTGATATTTGCACAATGACCATAACTTTCTGGATTATAGCCCCTGATTATACAAAAAATCGTTTTTGTTTCTAGCTTGTTCTCTATCCATCTCTTGCAAAATGTGGGCGTATCCTGCCTGGCAGCCGCTGGTTAATGATTACAAAGAAACCCCAGAATTTCTCCTACATTATTATGGATTGATGCTTTGAATGTGTATTGAACATATAGGTACTATAATAATGCATAAATATATTAAACATACTCTTTTTATCTTACCAGGTAAAACTACACAAAGGGATGGTAATCATCACAACACCTACCCCCGAGGTAGTAATGTTTTCTGTATTTTAGTATCCTGTTACATGTGAGACTGTTCTCCGTCGATCGTTTTTTTTTTTTTTTGTTCTCTGTGAAAAAAAAATTGTTTAATTTTCAGATATTTGATTGAAATTTGATAAACACTGATCATAATGTACTTACATTTCACTAATAATTAAAAAATGGTTCTGATAATTGAAAAAAAAAAGGATGTGCGGTAACTTTATTTACTCTGTAGATTAGGTCCTTACTGAGGCAATTGTCAGATCATTTTCACGATTATAGGTGTCGAGAAATTGAATAATTACTCTAATTAGACTTAGTCCTCAATTTTCTATACTCTCTTTTTCATTGAAACTAGAAAGCTATGTAGGTAATCTGTACTTCAACAAAACATACAAAAACGACAAGAATCAAATAAACTTTTAACATACCAACACTGTGGAGTCAAAAGGTTGTTCATGAGCGCGCCATAAATGCATAGTGGTTAGGAATCATAAAATATTAAAGGTTAAAAAAAAAAGCCACGTCAAAATGTTGTACGCAAAATATTATATTTCTAAAGAAAGTGTTTCTACAAAAGATGTATGGGTAGCCTTTGAAACAATATGTAGCTATCGGTACTTATCAGGCAGAACATGCAGGACAGAAATATAGTTTTATTATATGGTACAGACAGATATATCTTGGTAATAGATTCACCTTTCGCTTTTAACTGCTTGAATTTCATAAATGTAATACAGTAGGAAACCAGACTAAAAGCTAAAAGGTGTGCAAGAAAATTTTTGAGAAACCTTTTCACTCCAATTAAACCAAGCATATGTTAATCCTTTAGCCCTAATGAACCCGGAATATGTCCACAATTTGTTTGTCGACACTCTACGGGTCACAATTTTTATCTGTTTTTGATGAAACTTGAAATATAGGTCTATCTCCAAAACATCTCGGCTCTTTTCGATATTGGCATGTATGGGACCATTACTTTATGGATTATTGCCCCTGATTGTACAAAAAGTCACGTTTTAGCTTGTGGATGCTCTAGAGGTCACAATTTTCATCTGATTTTGATGAAACTTTAAATGCATGCTTATAACCCCATGATCTTGGTTCCTTTTGATATTCGTGCATATCGGATCGTAACTTCCTGAATTATGGCCCCTGATTGTAGGAAAAATCGTGTTTTGAGCCTGTGGTCCCTCTAGAGGTCACAATTATTATCTGATTTAAAAAAAATGTGTGAATATATCACCATTACACACTAAGATCATGGATCCTTTTGATAATCGCAGATACCCGAACTTAACTTCCTGGATTATGGCCCCTGCTTGTTCGAAAAATGGCATTTTTAGCGTGCGGATTCTCTAGAGGTCACAATTTTTTTTTCCAATTTTAACCTGTTAACTGCGTAGGGCGTTATATAACGTCCTGGACAACTGCCACTCACCGTGTGTAGGACATAATATAACGCCTTGGGGGTATTTTCCCCAACCTACGATCGCAGCATGTGTAGGACGTTATATTACGCCTGGTCGAGGAAATCTAATTGAAGGGAGACAACTCTATTTACTGTTAGTTTTAATATGGTTTCAGACCACTATCATTTGTATTCAGGAATAAAAAGGTCCAAAAAAACGTTTGAATATATCATCGTTACAATGTAATGTTGGTGGAGTTCAAAATTTGTGAAAACCAGACCAAAACTGCCGGACAAAATGGACACCCTTCGTACGCAAATGTAAACATATGATATATCAAGATTGTGGAACCTCTAAAGTTCACAATTTTGATCTGATTTTGATGACCCAAAGATCTTGGTTACTTTTGATATTTGCACATATTGGATCGTCACTTCCTGAATTATGGCCCATAATTGTACGAAAAATCACTGTTACACCGTAATGATGGTTGAGTTCGAATTTCATGAAAATTGGACCAAAACTGCTGGACGAAATGGCCGCCCCGAACGTAACTTCCTGGATTATGGACCCTGATTGTTAGAAAAATCGTATTTTAGTTTGTGGACCCGCTAGAAGTAACAATTTGTATTCACTTTTAAAAACCGTTTAAATATATCACCGTTACACATCAATGAAGGTTGAGTTTGAATTTCGTAAAAATCTGACCGAAACTAACAGACAAAATTGCCACTCCTTGAAATTTATATTTATTATCCAAAGGTCGTGGTTCATTTTGATATTCCTGTAACTTCCCGGATTATGCCACCCCTGATTGTATGAAAAATTGTAGACCCGCTAGAGATCACAATTTTTATCCGATTTTGATCAAACTTAAAATATATCCCAAAGATCTGTTACTGTCGATATTTGCGCATTTCAGACCATAACTTTCTGGATTATGGCTTTTGTTTTTAGCTTGTTCTCTAATCCATCTCTTGTAAAATGTGGGCACATCTTGCCTGGCAACCGCTTGTATGAAAATCCTAGTGAAATTTTTAAAAAAAGACAAAACCACAGTAAACACTCAAAGTGTTATTCTGAAAATAATCTATTAGGATTAAACTAGGCATATTTGTATTTAATTTATTAATATGATTTGATGTTTTGACAGGTGAGACAACTGTTAATGAGGGCACACCTCCAGGGATTACTGACATTCCTACCATTATAACTCCTCCTCCCAGTAAGTATCATGTTATAATCAGTTTTTATATGCCAACATTTTATTAGGAATATTTTTTTCATGTTGTATAGTCCTATTATAGTTGTGTCTTTGCTAATTAACCATTTTCATGAACTTGTCTTTCTATTCCTCTACCTATTACCATATCTTTGCATGTTGTATTGAATGTGGTTTTATACTTTATTTTCAACATATGGATTTTCAGTGTATTAAAAAATGGATGTTAGTAGTTGTACATGGGTTCGTTCGTCGATCGTTCTTGGTGTTTAACGTCTGCTTCTGGATTGGTAGATGTCATCGTTTTAGTGTTTAGGTGGAGGCCCGTCTTATCGTGGCCTTCCCTTACTCCACTATCCCACTCTCTGGGTTTGGTATCAGTTTTATTTGCGGAATAGTGTTTAGGTGCCGAGTTCGTCTGACCGTAACTCCCCCTTACTCCACTATCCTGCTAGTTTGGTAGATGTCATCTTTGTGGGGTTTGTGTTTAGGTGCCAGGCCCGTCTTATCGTGACCTCCCCTTACTCCACTATCCCACTCTTTAGGTTTGGTGTCTGTTTTTGGTGGAATAGTGTTTAGATGCCGAGTCCGTCTGATCGTGACTCCCCCTTACTCCACTATTCTGCCAGTTTGGTATAAATCCACTATGTAGTTTAGTGTTTAGATGCCGGGCCCGTCTAACCGTGACACCCTCTTACTTCACTATTCTACTTAGTCCAACTGTGTCCATTAGGGCGTGGATTTGTTCGAAGATTTGCAGTTTCAGATCTGGTCTCGGGAAGAGTAGGTTCTTAGTGTTGATTGGTATGTTGTTGGACTCCATTGTTCTCACTAGTTCCCTTCTCTCCTCCTTGTATACCTCGCAGTGTACCAGGACATGTTTGTTGGTACATTCTTCTCCGGACTCACAGATGATGACTTGGTGTTTGTAGTCTCGCAGCCGCTCTTTCACCCTTAGCTTCGATATAAGTCTACAAATATCTCTTCTATGGTGATTGAGTGTTGTCTTTGTGTAGATCTTGTCGTCCAGCCGGAATCTGTATGTGTCATGGGTTCAAGTTTTGGCCACTATATAACCAGATCACATAGGTATTTCTACGATTGATGTCACCTATTTTGATGCAATGATGATATTGTATGTCAAACACATATGACGTATGATTACTTGTCTAAAATTGATGGCGGCAAATGGTATCATATTAAAAAGTAGAGAAACTAGGGCTTCATAGGTGAAGCCCCCAAATTAAAAAAATACCAATGAACAAAGGAACGAGAAATAACTAATTCTGATTGCTTTATATAATACATATATAATTAGTACCATATTAATTGACACTGAAAATCATTACAAGGATTGTTTATATATCACACCAATGAATGAATAAAAACTTTGTGAATTCTGTGATATAGACCTAACTATGAACTCTGTTCTGTTGTAGACCTTTGCAAAATTGGATGGTCCAAATATGTGAATAACCATACACCAACATCTGAAATGTTCCAAATGGAAGGTGGAGAACATGAGAAAATGACACCAGAAGAATTAAAGAAATTCTGTCCTGTTGGTAAAGTGACCAAGATAGAATGTACAACTATTAATAATGTATCATCTATAAGTAACGCAGAACAACTGACATGTAAATTAGATTCTGGTTTACAATGTGAGAATGCTGATAATTTCCCAGCACCATGTTCTGATTATAGAGTTCGATATTTCTGTCAATGCCCACGTAAGTTTAATACTGATAAATAAGATACATGTATTTGCATCTTGCATAGGTAACATTCCATATATACTGAGCGCCATGGAAAACGCATCACTTAGTTTTTCGATATTTCTGTCATTGTGAAGGTTAGTATCATTGATTGACAAAGAGACTTTTCATATATTTGTATATACCAACATTGATCTTTTCCGTCCATTTTTAAAAGATTTTTTCAATGTGAAGCAGTGAAGTCATGAGTGGACAAACCCTATCGATATTCAGCATTCCGCGCTCTTCTTTTTTTTAGCGAGAAGGTTTTGAATGCATTTTGTGATAAGAATAGAGATTAGATTTCTAGAAGGCAGAAAGGATAATTGTCAAATTTGGTAAACAACCACGTTTTCCATTTGGCTGTTTTCCATATGTTTGTTTATTTTAGACAAAGCTGCTGTGCATTTTTCATGGCTATCTTGGACTTCTACAAACATTCTTGATTTAAAATGACAAATTTAGATTTTTTCATAAACTGTAAACTGCTTGATGCATTTCAGCCAAATGTAGTATGTTTTTGGATAGGGCCTTTTCAGATTTGTCCATATGAAGTTGGTCAGCCTCATACTGGGGTTGAGCAGGAATAACTTTCTTCTGACTGTGTACAATCATTAAAGGCTATAATCTGTACAACTGATATAAATTATAGATTGGCAGATCTGAATACAATCTAATCTGTACAATAACACCCCACCCCAGTGATGGGATTTCAGAAAAATTATTGTCGGACATTTTTTCCCGAAAATAAAGGGGCATAACTCTTATCGTAATTTAAGCAGACGTTTTCAAAACACAATTAAGAATCACGTGTCAACAAAATATATTCAAATTCATATGTAAAAAAAATAGGTGTACCTCGTTATATTTCATGTTTAAAACCCGTACGGTATTCAAATTTATGTCAATAATATTCCTACAAAATTACATGACATCAATACTATAGAATGGCAGCTTGCCGACTGCTGTCGATCTGTTTCAAACTCTCCCAAAATTACCGTATTTTTCGGGTCATAAGTCGGTACATTTTTCAGCAAAGTCCGACATTCGTCTGATACTACGTTTCGATTTATATACGGAAGGTAAAAAAATGACATCCCGAAATTTATTTGGCCGTAAGCCGTAGTTAACGACGCTCAAATACAACGACCGTGTGACACCAACTGCTAAATAATTGCATTCGACTAGCACGCGCTATCGTCTAAAACAATTAACTACTTACGTCATTCGAATCGAAATATTCGTCAACATTTCTTAGCGTGTTTATTTATTTATTTATTTATTTATTTAAAGACATAAACCCCATTCAAAATATGATCATAAATCCGACAATATGCCATCAAAATAGAATCTTTTCTCGGACATCAGTCGTATTGAATTCGGCACGTATACACCTCTTAATTTCACGTGTCTCGCGAGATTTGTACTTTCATTTTAATTACTGAACTATAGTGCCATATGCGTGTGTGTGAAATATCTTTATTTAACTTCGGCTTCCACCGAAATATATCATATCTTTGCATGTTGTATTGAATGTGGTTCTATACTTTATTTTCAACAGGTCACTATTTTTATTCGATTTTTACGAAACTTGAAATATAGGTTTATCTCCCAAAGATCTCCGTTCCTTTCGATATTGACATGTATCGGATCATAACTTCATGGATTATGGCCCCTGAGTGTATGAAAAATCATGTTTTTAGCTTGTGGACACTCGAGATGTCACAATTTTGATCCGATTTTGATGAAGCTTGAAATGCATGTTTGTTTATAATGCAAATATCCTGTTTCCTTTCGATATTTGCGCATATCGGATCGTAACTGCCTGAATTATGGCCCCTGATTGTACGAAAAATCACATTTTTAGCTTGTAGACCCTCAAGAGTTCACAATTTTGGTCCGATTTTGATGAAACATGACATACATGTTTATAACCCAAAGATCTTGGTTAGTTTTGATATTTGCACATATCGGATCGTAACTGACTGAATTATGGCCCCTGATTGTACGAAAAATCACGTTTTTAGCTTGTAGACCCTCTAGAGTTCACAATTTTGACCCGATTTTGATGAAACTTATAATATACATTTATAACCCAAAGATCTTGGTTCCTGTTGATATTTGCGCATATCGGATCGTAACTTCCTGAATTATGGCCCCTGATTGTACGAATTATCACTTTTTGTTTAGCTTGTTCTCTATCCATCTCTTGCAAAATGTGGGCGTATCCTGCCTGGCAGCCGCTGGTTAGCTTGTGGTCACCAGAAGAATTAAAGAAATTCTGTCCTGTTGGTAAAAGTGACCAAGATAGAATGTACAACTATTAATAATGTATCATCTATAAGTAACGCAGAACAACTGACATGTGAATTAGATTCTGGTTTACAATGTGAGAATGCTCATAATTTCCCAGCTCCATGTTCTGATGTTAATTAAACGATGTCATGGATTGGAACATCTGATATAACTGCATGTTTAAATCCAGTTAGTTAATTATCTTATATTTGTTGAAGGAGACTTCTGATTAAAATATGTTTTAATATACAGATATTCATATTCTTAAAGAGCACATAAAATGACCATTTAAAAGCCAGTGTTTACTATATACACTTTCCAAGAAATTTAATTCAAATCCCATCATAATTAATTTAGACACCAAGATTTGGCCTAAATACAATTTTGCCAATTATTGAAAATATTCTTAATCTACCCAACATCACTGTCATCAAATATTTATTAGGAATGTTTATTCCTCAACAACTCTATACATTCACAATTTGTTTTTTAATTTATGAAAAGAAGGAGCAATATGTGCTTTTTCTAAAACACTCAGTCAAACACTGAGTTCTCCTCCCTTTGTTGAAAACCAGTTTGTATACATAATGTGTATTAGTTAGGCCTATTTAAAATTGTTAGTAATCCTGCAGTAGGTGTTTTGTCACTAAGGTGTTAAACTGTGACTATTGAATGATATACACCACTATTGTCCAAGTTTGTGTATTCAATAGTGATGGGTGTTATAATTAGTCACCAGTAGTGACATCTTTTACAGCTATAGTTACACACCTGCTAATTAACAATAACTGTATAATTTCTAACCACTTTCTATACATACTGAACATTAGAGAATACTGACCACTTACATGATTTAATGACAAAAATTGTCATTACTTAAAGGCCTAGCTTCATTAGGCAATGGTATCAGCTTACCAATGATAAATAATATAGGTTTTCTTTCTCTGTATATTCCATAATCCACACAAGGATGTGGCATGTTGATGACCAAGTCATCTTGTTAATATTCCTCATAAACTGTAAATGAACTAAACAACTGATACTGCATTTCTATATTTGTATTTATTTTTAAAAGGAAAGCTAAAAACCAAAAGTACAGCACATGCTTCCAATATAATTATGAAAATATGAATTAAACAGTGTTGTTCATATGATTATTGTTTTTTATGATTTTTATTTTGTTTCTCTCAGAATTAGTAACTTTTAAAGATGGATACACTGGTAACCCCACAACAATGAGAATAGGTTTGTATTTACTTTTAACTAAAGAAGTATTTTATACTCCCACATTTTGATGAGTGAATTCAAATAAAAATAAAGAGATAGGAATCCAAAACCATTTGAATAGCATAAACTTTGATGGGATGCAAGTCTGCATTTGGAAGGCACTTTCAATATGAAGTTCCTGTGAAAATGAAAGTATTTAGTCAAATTTTAGATTCATTTAATATTTTTATAAAAATATTTCATATTTCATAATTTTTAACTTTCAAAATTAAAAAAACAACATGCAAGATACACCCACATTTTGCAAGAGATGGGGGAAGAATATGGAAAATCGGTAGGGCTCATCCTCTCTTTGTGTCAGGGGACCACGTGGCTAAGTGGGTAAGGCGCTGGCTCGCTAGCCTGGAGGTTGGGTGTTCGATCCCTGCATTGGCCGAGAAAGTTCCCCCTTGTCAGTGATGCAGGACGGAGGGCCTGACAAGGACAGCTGTCTAGTCCTTTGGATGATATGAAAAACCGAGGTCCCGTGTATACATTGGAATGCACGTAAAAGATCCCTTGGCAGTTGGAATTCGATATAAGAGTAGGTGATAGTGCCACTGCCCGGGCAAAATTTCCCTCATAGCACACTGTATGGCATATGCCCGTCTTCATTAGCCCAGGTTAGGAGCAGAACAGTAGGACGCTAAACCCCATTTCATTTTTCTTTGTGTCACATCGAATTTGAAAAAAAAACCCCAACAAATTAGTTAAAATCTATAGGCTCCATTGTGTTCTTAAGTTTTTCGGAATGGGGGTATATGGAAGGGTATCGCTGCCAATATTAAATGCTCTGCTAAAATGTCTTTTCTATTGATTATGTGTAAAAAGTACAATGTACAAAGTGTTAATACCGGTAATGATAAAGTCAAATTACCTCTAAGACCAAAGTTAAATGTAAAACGTCAAATGTTTTATTGGAAAATGCTGTTTTTGACGTGTTTACTTTTGACATTTCCCTCATCATATTTTACATTTGCGTTCTGCCGCATCTCATTTGTCCTTCACGCTTTCTACATAACATCTTACGCAGCTACACCAGTAGTAGAGGAAGTGGTTAAAAACAGTCATCATGGGTATCACAAAACCACCTTGTGATGCCCATGACTATGTTTTGAACCATATTTTTATAAGGATGTAATATGTTGTCACCCTTGACATTTATAAAATCGTATATAACTTCATGGATTATGGTTTGTGATTGTACAAAAAATCATGTTTTTAGCTTGTGGTCCTCTAGAGGTCACAATTTTTATCCGATTTTGATGAAACTTAAAATATATGTTTATATCCCAAAGCTCCGGGTTCCTGTCGATATTGGCGCATTTCGGACTGTAACTTCCTTGATTATGCATTGCCCCTGATTGTGCTCAAAATCACGTTTATAGCTTGTGGACCCTATCTAGAGGTCACAATTTTTTATTTAATTTTAAAAAATATCACTGCTACACCATAATTAAGGTTGAGTTTGAATTAAGGCTGTGGACCCTCTATAGGTCACAATTTTTATCCGATTTTGATGAAACTTACAATATCTCAAAGATCTTGGTTCCTTCCGATATTGGCACATATCAACTATAACTTTTTGGATTATGGCACCTGATTGTACAAAAAATCATGTTTTTAGCTTGTAGATCCTCTAGAGGTCATAATTATTATCCAATTTAAAAAAGCTTTTAAATACATCACTGTTACACCATAATGACTTTGAATTTTGTGAAAATCAGACCAAAACTGTCAGACAAAATGGCTGCTCCCCATATACAAATAGTGTAAAAGTATTTAATGCCAAGGTTGTTGACCAGTGATGGGATTTTGCCCGTATATTCCACACATGTGCGACACTATTTTCCAAACTTCCTAAATTTTCTGGCCAGGAAATGCCCAATTGGACATTAAGGTATGGTGAATAATATTCAAAATTCCAAAATTAATAGAGTGCACTGAGTGTATATCTACCACGCAACCTGGTTATCGTTGATAATAGGATGGATTCATGGGATAATTAAGTGATCAATGTATTTATCGTGTTATACCGCCTATACACCTACCTTGATTAACTAGTTAATTTTTATCCGATTGTGATGAAATTTCAAATTTGTTTATATCCCGAAGATCTGGGTTCTTTTCGATATTTCCGTGTATCAGACCCTAACTTCCTGTATTATGGACCCTGATTGTAAGAAAAATCGTTTTTTTTTGTAGCTTGTTCTCTGTCATCTCTTGCAAAATGTGGGCGTATCGTGCATGGCAACTGTTTGTTTCCAATTTAGATGAAACTTAAAATATGTTTGAAGGATTAATATTGTTCTTGAATGAGTTCAATTTTGGTACGCATCAGACCTTCTGTTTTAGAGCTATAGGCCCTGCTTTTTATGCAAAATTTGAAATATGTATGAAGTTTGTAGGCCTTCCAGAGGAGCTACAATCGTTGTTCCATTCTTTTCACTTCCTATTGATTTTCGCTTTAATCCGAATATCAACACGAAACCAATGTACTACATTATCAGAAAAACAAGGAATATTTGTTGCCTATATTTTAATCAAACTAAAATGCCATGTTTTTCAGGTAAAACCACAGCAACATGGCAGTCACCAGAAATTACTGATATAACACCAACATACATAGTTCCAAGTAAGTAAGATTTCTGTCTGATTTCTTCTGGAAGTCATGTGGTAGAACACTTGACTAACAATTACATATTTGATATGAAAAATTGTATCTGGTTGTTGAGATAGTATTAAAAATCAAGGTAATGTCGATTGAATACATGACACTTGTGATTGAATTTGAGCATGATCGCCCTTTAATTGGCGTGATTGCAGACTTAATTTTAAAAAAAATCTGTCTAACTTAATGATATATACAGGTATTTTCATTGGGGCAAAAATCTGTTCTTTTTTAACTGTATATATGACTGATCAAAATAAACACGGTTCAGTTCTTTGTATGGGGGATCACGGTGGCTAAGTGGGTAAGATGCTGGCTCGCTAACCTGGAGGTTGGGTGATCGATCCCTGCATTGGCCGAGAAAGTTCATCCAGATATTCCGGCGTGGTTCCCGCCTTGTCAGTGATGCAGGACAGCTGTCTAAGTCGTTCGGATGGGACGAAAAACCGAGGCCCCGTGTACACATTGGCGTGCACATAAAAGATCCCTTGACAGTTTGAATTCGATATAAGAGTAGGTCGTAGTGCCGTTGTCCAGGCAAAATTTCTCTCGCAGCACACTGTATGGCATATGCTCGTCTTCATTAGCCTAGTTCAGAGCAGAACAGTAGGACGTTAAACCCCATTTCGTTTCATTTCATTTCATTTCATTTCATTTCAGTTCTTTTTATATGAATGATCAAAATAAACACAGTTCATTCATTCATCTAACTAATTCAAAATTAAGAAAGTTAAACAACAATTCTAGGGCATTTTTTAGGAACTAATTGATATATGAGGAATAGTAGGCATTTCTGATTGGACTAGGTTTACAAACTTTTGGGTATTAAACATACATTATGCAACAGCTAAATCTGCCTATTGCAGGTCTTTCTTTAGGCCTGAAATGTTATCTAAATTATCAATTAGACATTAATTAACTTATCCAGATTATAATCAACTCTTGATGTCAACGCTAGCCTCTGATATTTACTGGATTAAGATCCGATTTCCTGCTCAACTTTCATTCATGATTTAACCATGAAATGGATAATCGAGATTATGTTTTTTATCGTACAGACTATAGTAATGATGATGTCATGATGATGGAGGTTAGGCTGAAAATTCAATCACTAAAATCTCGGTTCAGAGTGAATCAATTTGACTGAAATTTTCAGCAAATTCCTTTTACATTATCTAGTTTTTAACTATTATAGTGAGAACTGCCATAATGTATCTTTAAATTTTAAATCAATTTTATTACAATTATTTATTTTACCTCTAGCGCCATGTAAGGAAGATAAATGGTCCGAATATGTGAATAACCATACACCAACATCGGAAATGTTCAGCAATGAAGGCGGAGAACATGAGAAAATGACACCAGAAGAATTAAAGAAATTCTGTCCTGTTGGTAAAGTGACCAAGATAGAATGTACAACTATTAATAATGTATCATCTATAAGTAACGCAGAACAACTGACATGTAAATTAGATTCTGGTTTACAATGTGAGAATGCTGATAATTTCCCAGCACCATGTTCTGATTATAGAGTTCGATATTTCTGTCAATGCCCACGTAAGTTTATACTGATAAATAAGATACATGTATTTGCATCTTGCATATATAACACTCCATATATATATATTATGTTCTGTGTAGACTTGTTTTCCACTCATCTGAATATTGACGAAACAAAAATTAAATTCATCAATAATTATATTGAAAATATGGGGAATTAACAATTGTTTTGAAAGCTATGGATGTTTTCTATGTGTTGATCAAAAGTGTTGCCAGCTAGTCATTTTAAGTGACTGATGGCGGTAAAATAATCTTTATGATAGGTCTTTTGCTAAGATGAACTGTATACAGTCTTTATGGTTGTTGATTAATTGTTTTTCTTTACACAGCTATTAGGTTGCTCTTTTGGTAAAATAGTCTATACATCCTTTAGGGTTACTCTTTTAGTTAATATAAATTGGGGTTGCGCTCTTGGTAAAATAGTATGTAAAGTTGTTTTTATTGCTTTTAGAAATATGTAAAGATATGACATGTCCAGCCTTAGTGAAACCTCCATTAGATGTAGGTGAAGATGTAAAAATTGCATTAACAACAGATGGATGCTGTAGACAATATGTTAAAGTTTGTAATTCACATCTTTGTCCAGTTTCTGAAGAAAATTGTGAAACGCCAAAATATCTGATCCAAAATGGTGGAACTAATTGCTGTCCTAAATTTACTTGCAGTAGGTTTTTTTTTTTAATATTCAATGATTTTCTCGAAATGAAAATATCTAGAAGGGTTATTTGAAAATATTCCAGCTGTGTTCAGTGTGTGGAATTTTTTTATGAAGACATCTGATTTTATGAACTGTGAATTCCACATTAATAACATTAAGAAGGCATATGATTTATTCCTTGGCATCTACTGGAAGATAAGCAAGGTAACATTACTGACACACTGGTTTCTTTCAGTCAGTATATAGCGATCAGGTTGTTACCATTTCTTTCTTTTTTAGATATATTATATTTTGAGTTTTTGTTTTATTTCAGAATGTCCGGATAAATGTCCAGTACAAACAGACCCAGTTTGCTTAAAGGTATAGTATCGAGATCTGATTTTCCTTTTTTTTAATATTCAGGGATTGGATGCAAATAAGGTTATATGCAAATATGTATTGGCCAATCCAATGCTGAGTTATACATTCTAACATCCAATTTACACATCCTGCACATTACTTTAAGCTTTTCAAGGAGTTTAATGACAACCATGCAAGATATCTTCTTCAATCAGTGACAGGATTGTCGATAAAAAGACAAGTTTGTGTCTTTGTGAAATGAAATGGAAAGGAAGTCAAGCATTGACGTTTGATGTTATACTTTTCTCTACCAACCGGGCTATGAAGAAGGGCGTTAAACATGTCTTGTGTTGTGATGGAAATTTTGTGTTTCTTCCTACACTTCATCAAATGCCAACTTTCTTTTATGTACATATTACAAGTACATGGGTGGATCTTAGTTCTTCCTTGCCAAGGACAACGGGTCTTGGTTTCCCCTTGTCTGTGGTGCACGGCAGAGGGCCTGACATGGACAGCTGTCTAGTCATTTGGATGGGATGAAAAACCGAGTTCCTGTGTATATATTTGCGTGCACTAAAAGATCCCTTGGCAGTTGGAATTTGATATAAGAGTAGGCCATAGTGCCGCTGCCCGGGCAAAATTTCCCTCATAGCACACTGTATGGCGTATGTCTGTCTTCATTAGCCCAGTCAGAGCAGAATAGTAGGACGTTAACCCCATTTCATTTCACATCATTATATACTATAATTATATATATTATAATTTGAAAACAAACAAATTAAAACCATATATACTTCTTTCAATGAAATAAATGTCTTCATACATTCAGACAATAAATTATACATGTATTATATCTATGTTATAGATGTATTTAATTTTAGTATAATGCAAATTGATAATATTTTGTTTACTTTAGGCTAGTAAATTGATTGAAATTAATACAGAATGTAATTGTAAGCAAAAATTCTGTGGTAAGTAAATCAGGGTCTCTATCTTCAAGTTAAGTACAAGTATCAAACTCAGAAGCCAGTTGAAAAGAAAATATGTGTATTGAAATTAATGTGATCTGAAAGGAGTTGACATAAATGTGTATTGAAATTAATGCAATTTGAAAGGAGTTGACATAAATGTGTATTGAAATTTATGTGATCTGAAAAGGATTGACATGGGGCTTTAGGGAGATCTGTCACTCCAGCAGAAATGTTATACAAAAGGCATTTCTCTCATACCAATTTAGACACTTCCTTAATTTGTAAATAAATGTAGATTAATGTAGATGCATTAGTAATTATTCTTTTTACAGTTCCACTGGTACCAGAGTGTAGATACAGAATGACTAGCCTTGCAGAACTGAAATCATTTAAGGTAGATATTACTATTTTTACCATCCTGTATGTACTGATAACTAATAAAATCCATTAAAACAAAGTAGAATGTATAATGTAAGATCGTTTGGGCCATCAGAATTAATGTAACTGTTTAATTATCTAATCTATAACTGATAGCCTCGTTGATTTTGATATAGTGAATTATAATGTTGGTGGTTGTATATTATTGGCAGTTTATACCACACGGAACAATCTTCAAACCTTCAATCTAGTCAGCAAAACCATTGAAATCTTGACTCAGATTTATTGACAATTTTTTATTTACTATATATATATAAATGTGCTTCCTCTAATATAAAAACAAAATTTAAAATGAGTGATCTTTTGAGTTAGCGAACGTGGTAATATTGAAACCATGTTGTCATTTGGTGAGCTTTATCGTGAGTCCTATCAAGGGAGTAGGATATAATATAACTTTTTAGTGCCTAGAATGCAAGCATCCACGACCTTGCGCTTTACATCCAGACATTAGTTGTCTTGGTCCAGTCAACCCAGTGTAGAAACTCTGAACTTTTTCAGAGACTTGATGGTCAAAGGTGTATGATCAAATTAAAATTCAATCTAAATGTATTTCAGGCAGGAGAAACATGGAATGATGGACTGTGTAAATCTTGCACATGTACAAAATTATCAGACGGCAATGTGCAGACATCTTGTCAAAACCAACAATGTTCTCCTTGTAAACCGGTAAGTAGATGCTGTTGTTTGAACAACAAAATAGTTCAGTTTGTTAGATGAAATTAGTAATGTGTAATTAGTAAAGTAATTAACAGTGTAATTATTTTTAACTATCTCATTAGTAATATAATTAGTGCTTAGTAGTAAAATTCCCTGGAATACAAACTGAGAGAGAGGGGGATTTCCCCTTCTGATATTTTCAATACCAACATCAGTATTAATGGATCACAATGGAAAGTAAATATTTAACTCGGTTAAAGTAAATCGTAAAGTAATTACACCCCCATTAATTTGTTTGGTGGTTTTCCCCACAAGGACTATCCAGTACTAAATCACCTAAATCAATCTTAATGGGCAGTTTCTACGATATGGTTTAAACTTTTCGGTTGAGTGTATATTCCAACATTTCAGAATTTATAGAGGAATGTCATTTGTTTTCTTTTTCTTCTTGTGAAAATGTATCATAATTTCTGGATTGTTAAAATTATTTCACTGTTTATTCTCATTTGTGTCTTCATGGACATCTGTTTATAAATATCTGTTAATATCAGATATGTTCTGTTTTAGGGTGAGAAGAAAGTTACTCAACCGAACAAGTGTTGTAGTGATTGTCAGCCTATAGGATGTTATATGGATGGCAAAATTTACAAGGTAAATTGTAAATTTTATTAAATTTCTCTACTTAATGGTAGGTTTAATTGCAGGTTTAATGTATGGTAGGTTTAATGAATGTAATTTGTAACACCCAGCAATAAGCAGATTTAACTCTTGACACAATACCTCTTTAAATAATCTTTGTAAAAACTAGGCATTCTCCTTTAGTATGTTGAGACGTCCATGTTTTTAATACATTGTTGGATCTTTTTTGCAGGAAGGAGAGACAATGCCATCAACATTAAAATGTCATAGTAAGCAATGTATAAGAGATACAGTTCATGGTAGTTTCGTTGTTAGAGAATCACAGACAACTTGTTTAGCATTAGATAAATTACCCCCTTGTATAACAGTAAGTTTATGTATTTTATTATACACCTACATTTTAGTGTGAGCGTATGCCGTATTATGTTGTCACCCTGTCTGTCTGTCCGTCCATCAATAATTATATAGCTTGTGAACACAATAGATGCTGACATTTTTTTTATTTCAAATTTGGTTGTAAGCATGGGGTCATAAGAAAATGCCCCCGATCAACTTTCTACAACTTTCCATTACAGAGTTATCCCCCCTTTGCCAAAAACCTTATAAATGCGATATAAGTTATAGTTTTTAACAGATTTTTTTCATATCTGGTTTAAAGCTTTGACGTCATGAGAGGACAAACCCTATCGATATTCAGCATTATGCAACTTTTATTTGATTTTGACGAAACTTAAAATATAGGTCTATCTCCCAAAGATCTTGGCTCTTTTCGATATTAGCATATATCAGACTATAACTTCATGGATTATGGCGCCTGATTGTACGGAAAATCACATTTTTAGCTAGTGGACACACTAGAGGTCAGAATTTTCATCTAATTTTGATGAAACTTAAAGTACATGTTTATAACCCAAAGATCCTGGTTTCTTTCAAAATTCGTGCATATCGGATTATAACTTCCTGAATTATGGCCCTTGATTGTACGGAAAATCGCGTTTTTAGCTTGTGGTCCCTTTAGCGGTCACAATTTTATCTGATTTAAAAAAACCTTTGAATATTTCACCGTTTCACCCTAATGATGGCTCAGGTAGAATTTCGTGAAAATCGAACCAAAACTGCTGGACAAATTGGCCGCCCCGCGTATGCAAATTGTGTAAATATACATGTATGGTATATCAAGGTTGTGGATCCTCAAGAAGTCACCATGTTAATCTGATTTTGATGAAACTTGAAATATATCTTTATAACCCAAAGATCTTGGTTCCTGTCTTTAGGCTTTGCTGGTTGGATAAGCAAGCATCTATGTTTCCTCGTTTCAAACACAAGATTAATGCATGGTTCCCCCTTGACTCAGGGCCTGGCCAGGGATAATGTCTAGTCATTCAGATGGAAAGAAAAACCAAGCTCCTATGTGCATATTGGTGTGCACGTAAATGAAACCTTGACAGTTGGAGTTTGCTGTGTATGGTGTAGAACAGAAGAATGTTAAATTTCATTTTATTTATATAATTTTAGGATGTTGTAGTGTATGATTCTAGTGGATGTTGTGCTACCTGTGTTCCAAAAACATCAACTAATTCTACTGACACCTGTCATTCTTGTCAACCAAAGCTTATGTTCACTCACCCTAAACAGTCAGTTGGTTATTTCACAGTCACAGATAATGGTGAAAAATGTCAGAATAGTCAGCCAATCAGTGATTTGAAACTTTGCTCTGGCTCATGTGACTCTTCTTCCACATACACAGACATTATGAGTGGTGTTAAAAACACATGTAGCTGTTGCCAGCCAACCAAAACTAATGTACAAAATGTCCAATTAGCATGCAGCAGCGGTAGAACAATCACCAAGTCTTATGATATACCTGAAGCTTGTGCGTGTGGTTTATGCAGTTAATAAACGAGAACCTGTTATGAATAATGGACATGAAAATTGATTTTTATGTCAATGAATTTTATGATATATTAAAGTCTTTAAGATATTAGAACATGTATATTTAGATCAGAATTAAATAAAAATTTGCAATTCTAAAAACCAATTGTTATACAGTTTCATGTGTTATTAAAGGAGATGGGCAACCTATTTCTTTAAAACGAGTATGAACGTACTATGGACCAGAAGGAACTGGGCATGATGTTATCTCCGCCATCTTGGAATTATGAGGGCCAAGGAACAAGCGTGCTCCATTTCACATCGGTTGTACTTCAATTGTGAGAAAGAAAATGGGCCTAACGTTCTTGACACAAACTAGGTCATTTCATGACTAACATGGTTAAATTTTATTTCAACAATTCGCTTGCATGTAGGGGTCTTTTAGCAGTGGGAGGAAACCAGAGGACCCGTAGAAAACTCATAGGGTTTGACAGGCAAACATACTCCTTATCGCGTACAAGCGCTGAATCTAAATCACACCCCTTGACTCAATGATAGACCTTATAATGCAACGCGCACACGTTAACCATTCAGCCACAACACCCCTGTACTTCAATTGGCAGAGCCTTAGACTTATCAAAGAGCTTCGCCCCCAAGAACAATTCAATAGAATTCTATGTAAACTTATTATATTGATACCATAATTGTTCAGATTGTGAGAGAGAAATGGGGTTTAACGTTCACTCGACACAAACTAGGTCATTTTGGGACTAACATCTGGTTTAATTTTATTCAATAATTCGCTTTCGCGTAGGGGTCTTTAGCAGTGGGAGGACCCGGAGAAAACCCACGAGGTTGGACAGGTGACCCTACTCCTTGTCACGTACAACCAGGGATTCGAATCCACGCCAGTTGACTCAATGACAGGCCTTATGATACAGCGCACACGTGCTAAACATTCGGCCAATCAACCCCCCAGTTCAGATTGAATAAAATTCTTGGACTAAAAGTATATTTGATTGCATCTTATGAATGAACTTTTATCTGGCATTGGGGCTTTAATATGTTTGACATATGGAATAGATATAAAATATAATTTTTGACAATACAGATTTTGAGTATTGTTTGATAGCTTCAGTACAGATAACTTATTGAAAGAGTTAAATTTTCAGTCACAGAATACACACATTGATAGCTTCAGTACAGATAACTTATTGAAAGAGTTAAATTTTCAGTCACAGAATACACACAACAAATATTTTGTAGTTTGTGAAGTAATCTTTATATACATATTGTTGATAAATTCGATTAACATTGCCATATATCTAAAGATGCTAAAGATCGACAAAAAATGTTATATAAAATACTTCCACAATTATACATTTACAATGTACATACAGTACCGTATCTTACTTTAAATACATCAGATAAATGGGGAGCTTATTTTTCTTTAAAACAAATTATTTGTTTTCGTCAAAATTAATATTCAGTTTCTGGTATGTGGACATGGTGCAAATTTCCCATGCAAGTTTGGTTCTGTAGTTAATAAAGCTCTTTCTTTGAAAAATAACCAAAGATTTGTATTTATAAACCTATAATGTTAATTTAGTACAATGTTCACATATGTATAACATTATTATCCATATTTTCATCTTCATATTTTATATATACATGTAATAAAGATTGCACTTTCTTTGATACAAAACGAAACAATGTTAACAATTTGCTTTCTAAATACTGTAAACATTTACATAGAAATATTATAATCATGGCATTTTTGTTTAATTAAAACAGTGTTTTAAATACAATATTTTTTTTTGTCAATAATTGCCCTTGAACAAAGATTTAGTTGCATAGAATTTGATTCTAATGGAATGTAGGGATATTAGGCAAAAGCTGGATAATTGTGAATAATGGCCACATTCATAAATGTGTAAATGAAAAAGTCAGGATATATATATTAGGCGTCTATAACATGTGCATCAGTCTTATTTCTGACTTTCGATGAGGTATACTGTAGAAGAACCAAAAATTAGAGGCTGCTTCAACATTAATTTAACAAAGACTTAAGAATTTAGCTTCTACATCAGGCCTAATTTGCACAATTTTCTGCTGTTTGATTGAACAGAGACAATTTGTGATTTTGATATCCAGACTTTAATTTGAATACCTTTCCACTAAGCAACCATTACTGATATGATTAATTCACAACCATGTTAGGGTTTGAGGTAAGATTGGATTTTAAAAGCACATGGTATCAAAACGAGCTATCTGGAATTAAGCGAAATATGTAAATTTAAAAGAGCAAATTCACATTTAGGAAAGCAGTAACTAATTTTTAGGATAACATTGGGTAGATTCTTGCTTCACAAAAACACATAATAATTGACATATATACTCAAACAAAATTAATTGCTGAAAAATTCAAATGTACATATTATTAGCGTACAAATGAACACAACAAAAAATGCGCCCCATGCCCCCCCAAAAGTAAAACATTTAATTTAACATTCATAGCACCTCGTAGACCATTGTAACAATTGCTGTGATAATGATAATTATTTATAGTATTTCTGAAGCCAAGTCTGCACAGACTACAGAAAATGTCCGAGTTTGATAACATTTCCTACAACAGGTAGACAAATAAAATTCAAAATACATGTGGATAGTCTTCATTGCATTATTTCCATAGCATAATGAATAAGAGATGTCAAAAAGATAAATGTGTTCAATGTACAAAAATATCATATCCAGCTCTTCGTTCTATTCACAGCAAATAATTACATAAATATCAATTATTTCTAATTAATGAATGAAACAATACTTAATCAGCATTCATATCCTATGCAATTCATATTTTTGGAATATGTGTGCAAACATATAATACAGCTTACATTAATATACAATCAAAACAAATCATTTTTACCACCAACCTCACTCTCATTTATTCAACAAAATAACACAACAAAATTTAACATCATAGAAATTAGTTTCTAAGTAGAAAGTTGAGTCTTTTTTTAAATACAAACAAGAAACTTTTATAAAACAAGTCTTGTTTGTGAAATGAATGGCTTTGTGTTTATTTGGCTGGAATTATAGAATGAAATATTACAATGAAGTAGAAAGCTTACCTTTATAATTAAACACACTATGCCAATAAAGTTTTTACATGTTATTTAAGTCACCATATTCCAGGAAAATATGAAATTTCAGACCATATTTATGTTATCAAAAAGCATATTGGTCCAAATATTATTAAAACTAATTATTGCTAACATAATTTATGTTCATATAATTTATACTGATGTTTTCATCATTGCATATTTTTCTGTCTTAGAAGTCGAATCTTGTTAAGTTAAGGACAATGGCATGAAATTTTATCATGTGAAATTTACATGGCCATAATTTGGGTAGGAAATAATTGCTTTTAATAATTTCTGAATCGATAAGCTTTCTGGTAAAGACTATTTTTTCTTGTGTATGGCCTGATGTCTATTCTGGGATATTGGTCCTTTAAGTGAATAATTAACTATAAGCTCATTATAAAATAACCTTGTAGCCTGTGCTGTTGAAGAACAATGTGACAGTGGCAGTAATTCTTGGTTTACAGTAGTTAAACATTTGTCAAAGGTTCTGGTCAAAAGTGCAATTATAGCCTTCATACCATGATGTCACATTTAAAGGTTATCATTTTGTTCTTCAAGACACTCACCTTTCAGTCATAATTGTCTGATATTATAAATCAATAAACATCTTTAATCCATTTTACAATAGTTGTCTACAAACCAAAAATAGTTTGTTTTGTTTCCATGGAATAGAACTATATTTTACACTGTAAACAATTTTACCCCAAACATCACAGATTACATCACATCACGTGAACAAATGTTTACCCCACTCAATATCACACAAAATCACTACATCACATATAACTATAATTTGTGCACCAATTCATTTGTTGACCATCAACAGTTTATCTTGCTGTGCTTTCTTTATTAATGTCATTTAACATTTAGTTCTTTCAAAACTCACAGTGCTTCATTATGTCACAACTTTATACAGTTTCAATCCAAACATCAATTCACTTGAATTCTATAATACAAATAACTATTCCATGAGTTTAATACCCAAAATACTTTGACACTTAAGAATTCTGTTACTTTTCCAGTCTTGAATAGAATGAATTGCAAGTTCCAATCTTAAACCGAATGACTGATTTCTATGACTATACAGAACTATCAACATCACATATAGATAGGAAAATAATCCTTCTCATTCCTTTGTCAGTCAATTTTTCCATACTGTATTCTATATATATATGCAATTCATTATTTCACATTATGGTCTGTATACGTCCAAGATATATAATCCCTTCATTTTTTATCTCCATTTTGTGAAGCGACTGGACTGGTTGGTTTAGGTAATACAGCGGGTGGACTATTTGTCGAGCGAACTAAGTTGTTATGTTGTTGGAGTAACAAGGTTTGTTGTTGTTGTAGTTGATTTAACAACAGAGTCTGATCTTGTAATAACTGTGTTTTATTGTCTGTTGTCCGTGTAGGAGAATTTGACAATAAACTTGAACGTCTTTCCGGAGGGTTGGGTTTGTTTTTTGATTTCCTGGATAAGGATCCATTACTGCCAGTGCTATCTCTGTTACGAAGAACTGCACCACCAATCTGAGAATCCAGACTGGTGCTTGAACTGGTACTATCGCTACTCCCTTCACGATCTAAGAGAATGTTGGTTTTGGTTTCAGGAGCACTTGGTAATTTCTCATGTTGAGGAGGACTCTTCTGACTCTGAAGATCAGGGCGGTTCATATTTGCATAGATTCCCGCCATAAGGTCCTTTTGGTATTTGCTGACTGGTTTCTTAGGTGGAATGGGTTTTGGTGTTGAGGAATAAACTACAGGATGCGTAGAATCTATATTACTAGGCTTAACCTCCACAGGGGTACTTTCTGGAGAGAAAGCTCTTACCGGAGAAACTGTCCCATTGACATTATGGGAGCCCAGAGGCAATCGGCTGCTCTTCCTAGGAGGAGGAGGAGGGGGTTGCTTCTTTATCTTTACTTCCATCTCTGGTTTCATATTTTGTGGATCTGAGGAAGGGGATGTTTTTCCCGATGGTCTAGGGATATTGGATCCTAGTTTTGTTGTTGGGGATAGTGGATCTTTTGTTCCAGGAGATACTGGAGATTTCGTTGTAAGATTATTAGGGCGGTAGCTTGACACTTGATCACTGAGTTTTGCTGTTGGTAACGTTCCTGTGGAACTTGTGACAGATGTTGTAGTATCTGCCTTAATACTGGAAATTTGAGCAGGAGTAAATTTCACCACATAATCCATAGTAGTTCTCGGCGGAGAAACACCAACTTCAGTGGCGTTTTTGGTAGGCGATGGTTCAGATGAAGCTGGAGAAGTTTGATTAGAAGAGTCTGGAGAACTCATGGAACTGAAGAAGGCAGCTCGAGCAGCAAGTTTTTGGTTGTTGATCTCCACAACATCTTGAGAGGCAACAGTTGTCGGCGATACTGGTACAGACATGGTGGGTACAGATGTCACTACAGGAGGTGCATTTCCTGCTGCTGACATGGTTACTTCAGTTGAAGCTGGCTGCTTTTGTTCAAATGTGGTCTGTGGCTGTGGATGAGATGGAAGACTCTTAACTGGTCCTGAAGTCACTTGATTAGAATAAACTACATTTGGTTTGCCAGCAATGATATTTTTATTCGAGGAACTTGCCACCAAAGGTTCCTGCTTTATATTATCTTTGGAATAGTCTTCAGTTGGTTTCAAAGATTTTGTAGCAAGTTCTAATGTTTTACCAAACTTTAAGGATTCTTGCTGCTGAATAATTTTTTTCTTTCTCTCTCTGGAGTTTTCAGCTTCCTAGAAATAAAAAAAAACGTGAGTTATGTATTTGTGAATTATTGGATGGGTGGTGGTTTTTGAAATCAAAGAAACTGCACCCAAGTGCACATTTGTGGTAGGTTCAAATATAGGCTAAACGAGTAGTCTCACAACTTAGATACTGAAGAACAGAGATATAACAAGCCAACAGTGAGGCTGATGTCCCCCGCCGAAATAGGAAAATAATTAGAGGACACATATAAATTTATCACAAATTATCTTTTACAAAGTATTGAACAATCAAACAGTATATCTTTACTTATAGTCTAACAATCAAAGTAGGAGAGTTATTGTTTTCCAAAGTCTCGACCAATCAAATTGCGTATCGCTCTGCTTACCCTGAGCAGAAAATGCTCATTATCAAACTTAGTCAAGGTATTACTGTAATGAAACTATACACCAAGTTTCATCAATCTCACTTAATTAGAACTAAAGTTATCGCATCCCAAAGCATCAACCAATCAAATTGTTAATCTCCTCTTACCCTAAGCGGAAAATGCTCATCTTCAAACTCCATCAAGGCATTGACCTAATCAACACATACACCAAGTTTGAACATTCTAGCTCAATTAGGAAGAGAGTTATCGTGCCCCAAAGTATCAACCAATCAAATTGCTGCTTACCCTGAGCAGAAAATGCTCATTATCAAACTTAGTCAAGGTATTACTGTAATGAAACTATACACCAAGTTTCATCAATCTCACTTAATTAGAACTAAAGTTATCGTGTCCCAAAGCATCAACCAATCAAATTGCTTATCTCTGCTTACCCTAAGCGGAAAATGCTCATCTTCGAACTCCATCAAGGCATTGACCTAATCAACACATACACCAAGTTTGAACATTCTAGCTCAATTAGGAAGAGAGTTATCGTGACACAAAGTATCAACCAATCAAATTGCTTATCTCTGCTTACCCTAAGCGGAAAATGCTCATCTTCGAACTCCATCAAGGCATTGACCTAATAAACACATACACCAAGTTTGAACATTCTAGCTCAATTAAAAGTTATCGTGTCCCAAAGCATCAACCAATCAAATTGCTTATCTCTGCTTACCCTAAGCGGAAAATGCTCATCTTCGAACTCCATCAAGGCATTGACCTAATCAACACATACACCAAGTTTGAACATTCTAGCCCAATTAGGAAGAGAGTTATCGTGTCCCAAAGCATCAACCAATCAAATTGCTTATCTCTGCTTACCCTAAGCGGAAAATGCTCATCTTCGAACTCCATCAAGGCATTGACCTAATAAACACATACACCAAGTTTGAACATTCTAGCTCAATTAGGAAGAGAGTTATTGTGTCCCAAAAAGTGTGACGGACAGACAGACGGACGGACAGACGGACGGACAGACGGACAGACAGACGGACAGACAGACGGACGAACCCATTTTAATAGTCCCCTGCTTTCTTCGAAAGGCGGGGGACAATAAATTGTGAATTATTAGTGTGTAACATTAATGAAGGAAGCTGATGATGGTGAATGCTAAATTCACAGTTAGTCCTACCTCTAAACTATTTAAACGTGTTGTGTGATTAGGAACTATGGCTCGTATATTTTCTAACACACCATACTTGTCTTCATTGCTAGGATCACTCGTTTTACTGGCCACATATGGAACATTCAATGGGCGGTGGTCTTGTACAGAAGCTAACCTATATAAAATAATAATTCATTACATTCTATTTAAAATTACATTCACCACTATCAATATTAAAAGGCCATTACAATCACACCCTTTATTTTAAGTAATATTTTCAAGCTTTTGTAGATCTATGACAGTATTTGCCAGATACATGTGTATATCCTTTACTTAAAAATTACTCTCCAAATACAAGCAGATTTTACCGAAAGTTAGTAAATAAGCTTATGAAGTTTGAACATCAGTCATGAAACTGTAATTAAAATTTTAGAATGAACTTATTGATAACGAAACTGATATGTATGTGAAAGACATCTTTCATGTGGGTTTCTTGTGCATTGTTCAGATCATACTTAAAACAGGAATAATGCAAAATGAGATCAAATTTTGTTGTACTTTTGCATTTGAATAAAGTTCATCTTTTCCACGATCTAAGAATAGAATTTTACATCTCGTAAACACTTTCATTATGTCATTGTCTACAAATTCCCATTGTGACTTAGTTATTATACGTGGATATCAGATTTTCACAAAATTCTAACATCTGTGCACAAAATTTCTTGATATCAATAATAATATGAATCGACTGTGAGCAGAATAAGGTAATATGATAAATACCTTTTAAGAGTATACAGTGTTCCTGTTAGTTTTTTACATCTCTTTAAAGAACCATCTATTCGATCTGGTTCTTCTTTTAAAAACTTTTCTTCTGTAACAACCACCTCCATTTCCCCTGCCATCACTGATTTCATTCTTTCCTGTAGTCGTGGAAACCGAGCTATAAATGAAAGGCAAATTTTTTATATTTTTCTTTTTTTATTAGACAGGGAAAATAATGAGGTAAATTTCCATTCAACACTAATTAGGTCTATTCTGATAAAATACATGGCTAGGCACATACTAGCTTGACGATGAACCCATGAAAGAACTATATCTGCCTATTGCAGATGTTATATAAATTATTAGACATGTATTCACATGACAATTCCATAATCAACTCTCTAGAACATTGGATGGTTGTGATTTTAAATGGATTGAAACATAATTGCCATTTAATAATTTAATTTCAAAATGGATAATCAAGACTTTACTTATTATCGTAACAACAGTAGCAATGAAAATTGAGACAACACTATTATTCAAACAGTCATAACTTCACTCAGAATGAAGTAATTTGACTGAAATTCCCAATATATTCTATTTTCATCATCTATTTTTAAACTATTATAGTGAGAACTATCAGCTCTACATCTAAATCTTACATAACTTATCTTTAATGAAAACATAAATTTAGCTTAGTTTTGCAGTTAGAAAACTTTGAATTTAGATAAGACTTTTCCTTACAACACATGAAACATTTACTTTCAATTTGAAAGAAAATCAGCCAAGAACTAAGTAGACCTACTAATATTTAAAAGTAAAAATTTGTAAATTAAAAAAAACCCATAAAATTGTCCTTTATTAATTGCATTCACAAGACTTTATGAATTTGAAAGTAAATGAGGGGACGTATCCATTGCCACCTTTTACATGTATTTATTGCCCAATATAATACTTTTATCCCCCAAATCTCTGATGATTACTGTCAAAAAATATGTTGTTATAGTCTCCAATGTGCCCTTTTGTTACTCCAGACATATTCCTCCATGCCCTCTCCCCCTCATCATAAACCTACGACAGTTGAACAAATGGAATGAGATTTATTTCAGAAATTATTTCTGAACGAACAATGCAGCTTTACCAACCTTTTAAATCAGCTATAGATTTTGTTATGTTACTAAGTAACAAAGCCATGGCTTCAATATCCGACATTTGTATTCTACACTGTCTTGATACAACATCATTCCTTAATTCTTCTACACTGTCCTCTAAATCACTGAAATTATAGAACACAAGTTACATTACATTGAAAGTTGATTGTTTAGATAGAATTTAGAAAGGGAGATGGGGTTTAGTGTCCACTCAACACAAACAATGTTAATTTAGGACTAACATATCGTTGAGGAGTCAAAAGGCTGTATTTGAAGGTTTGCTAAATTGTCCAGTCCAGCCAAAAAACACATAGAGGTTAAGAATCATGATATCGTACAGAAATGTCACATCAAAATGTTGTACGCAAGATGTCATATTTCTAAAGATTTTCTCAAATATTTCTGTAAAAATGTACATTTAGCCATTTAAACAGCATGTAGCTATCCTCACATATTGGGCTAAACATTTTGTGCAGAAATAGGGAATGAAAAATAGTAATTTTGTAATTTTATACAGCAAGACATATCTTGGGGAATAAATTTGGTTTGCTTGTGATGTTTTTTTAGACATAAAACATTTTCTCTCCTAATATTTATATTTTTTTGGAACACTCAATATAAGACATCTTATTATTGGCTTAGAAATACAGATGAAAAGATGACCAAGAATTTTGTCAAATATGCCAGATATAAACTTTTGACTCTCCACCTACGATATGGTACATTTTTTTTATTTCAATAATTCACCTGTGGGTAGGAGCCTCTAGCAGTGGGAGGAAACCCCACGAGGTTAGTCAGGCGAGTCTACATCATGTCACATACAAGTGTGGGATCCAAACCATGCTACTTGATTCAATGACAGACCTAATGATAGACGCATTAGACCATTCGGCACCAACTGATTTAATCAAAAGATTAAGCAGAAGTCAGGGGCCTGTTTCACAAAGTTTTAACTAAAGATAAAATCCAAATTTTAGTAGATACTTCAATTTGATTGGCTAAGCACTAAAATCAATCTAATATTGTCCAATCAAATAACTAAAATTTGGATTTTATATTAGTTAAAATTTGGTGAAACAGGCCCCAGATCGTTTACTAATTTTATTTTAAATTTTGGCTTTCGAAGACAGAATGTCATCCCAGAAAAAAAATAACATATACATTACAATTAAAAATGCCACTTTTATTTTTGATAAAGATCAATGAGGTAGTGACATTTTTAACTGATAAAACTTTCTGGAAATCTATTTCAAAACATTGAGGAAAATTGTTTGATTTTGAAAAATTCTGGATAATCACCTTAGGTCTTTCTCAAATTTTTTCTGATCTGCTCTATAAGAAGCATGCAGTGTGTCTATCTCATGACGCTGTTGACGTATTAACTGACTACAGGCTCCAGGTGTCGACAACAACACTTTCTAAAATACAAATACATCATTTAAAAAATCATTCTTAAAATATATTCTTCAAAGCTGATAACTCATTTCTTTTCCAGAAATTTATATGGGGTTGTTTTCATTTACTAGGGAGCCATGATACCAGATTCGATCCCGGTGCTGGCTGAGTAAGTTCCTTGTGATCTTCCAGCCTGGTTTCCCCTTATCAGTGGTGCATCCTGGAGGGTCTGGAAAGGAACAGTGACAAAAAAAATGGGATCCTGTGGCCAATTCCACTTTTTTTAATACACATTTATGTTGCATTAATCTTAATACACATTTATGCCATCCCCTCATCAGATCACATCAATTTCAATACACATTTATGTCAACTCACTTCAGATCACATTAATTTCAATATACATTATGTCACCCCCCCCCCTCCCAGATCACATTTATTACAGTATCAGCACATATTTATATTTGAATTCCCTTCGATCAGATCACATTAATTTCATGTTTTAAGCATTAAGATTCTTGTTGACTGTTGAAAAACTATGGGATTCACTTACCTTAATTCTATATAAAGTATCATTTATGGCATCACAGATATCTTCATAATTGACTTGTTGAGCTCGACGTAAACCTCGTAATTCTAGTCGTAAATTACAAGTTTTTTCTCTAATGGCCACCATACTTAATTTCATTTCATTAGAACATGTGATAGTATGTATAGTTCTCTGGCTACTACTACCATCCGAAATACCTGATAAACCTACAATTATAACAGATGGACAAAATTAAAATCACAAAGTAATGTATAAACCGATGTGCTCAGTATTAGGATGGAATGAGCAGAAATTGGATTTATTCCAGAATATTCCATAATCATTGTCATCCTGCATACATGGTCTTATGATACCAGTGACAGGTAAACTTGTTTTATGGTAGTGTCAGAATATTAAGAGTATTATCAATTTTTCACACTTCATATTCCAACATAGAGATACAGACATCAAATAGAGCTGTGGTAGGGTTGTAAATATCATGACATCACATGCATTAAACGAATACGAGACATGATAGTGCATTTCCGGCGGTATTGTATAGTTTTGAAATTAGAAAACACACTGGCATTGTAGAAATAAAAATATTGTAGAAATAAAAATATTATTGAAACTTTAATAAACAAAACACTAGTTGTCATGCTATCAAGAAGATAATATATATAAATATATATAAACAACTAGTCATTACAACAATAAACAATATATGCCTTGTTCTACAGCTGATGATTCGAGCAAGCAACTCACAAGGTGAGTTCTATAATAGATGATATGGATATATGTAGAACTCAAACACAATACCAAAAGCTCCACTATTCTAAATCAAAAAAACTTCTGTATATAGTACTGTCATTTTCACTCAATTTGGAATATTTCTAACAATGTTGAATGACAAGGAAGGTAACTCTTGTAATTTATATTGTAATCTTGTATGAGTGATCAGATGGTTGTTGTAGATAGATTATAAGATCTGTTTTCTCATGGTTCAATTCTAAACTTGTGACAAGGAGTACTTAACCATGTGAATTTTCTCTTTCCACTTGTAAAGAGCCCTGGACTTTAAACCCCATTTATATCTCTCCAGCCATAGAAGAATAAGGAGTTTGATGGACATAACTATTTCTTTTTAAAGATACCTCGCCCCATACAAACTGGGTGATTTGATGATTTTTGGACTAAAAACATATTTAAACTAATTAATTTATCAAAATTGTGCTTCAAATCCTTCTCAAAACATTGTATTTGCTACGAAATACTCGAAGCTATAAAAGAAGTCATGTTTGTGTCACGTGACTTGGCTATCATGGTACCTAGCAACGGGTACAGAGCTGGAGGAGAATTTATTGCATATAAAAGACAATGTTGTCTTCAATCGCTTCCATTGATCATAAATATCGAAGCCTAATTAAATTCTCGGATTATCCACTGCCCACGTCCACCCACCATCAAGTTCATCAACATGTACATCAAGCACTCACTACCGCTGAGAGATCAGACAATCTTTGCGTACAACCTTTGACGTCACTCGAGCAGACAGCCCTCAATCGTCAGACTGCCAATTTGTGTCTTTCAAGGAATCCAATATTTTTGTAGGAAGATTATGTGTCTCCACTTTCCATATAAATACCAAAATTGTCATATTTTTATTGGAAATAACCATCCGATAAATTTTTTTGTGGGAAAGTATCTTTAAGATCTGCTTATTTTGGTTTAAGGACAATATCAAACTAAGAGTTGTGCAAAACACCAACAGCAATAAAAATGATCTAAGGTAGTCAATATTTACTAAATGCTAAAAGGTTAAATGGTTTGAAACTGGATATTGTCAAGATAAAACTCTTGTCTTATTTCACACATAAAAACATTAGCTGTCTTCAAGTTTGGGAATGCAATAAATCACCATTTAGTATGTTTGAATAAATAATTCTTCAAGCAAATTTTATGTGCAGAAGCAACTTTATTTTCATACAAACAACCAGAAGCATCATGCAAATTTTTCAAAATATTTTTTGGAAATATAAAGCAGTATTATAAAAGCATGCACACAACACCAACAATAGTTAAAATATAAACATAGGATTAGTACCTGAGTAATTTAATTTCAATCTCACGCTTTCTGAAAAATTAGGTTTTATTGTTAGCTTATTTTATATGTTATCAAATACTGTTTTTCATTTTCTATAGACAGCGTGTAAGATATCTTATTCTTTATTAGTTTAAAGGACCAAGAACAGACAGATTTTATTTGACTTTGTGCAATCTAGTATATATCAAGATGTATTCATATCCCTTAAATAACATTGTGTAAATTTGTGCTGTTTAATTAAAACTAATTAGTGATTTAGATATCATTGCTTGACTCTTGCCTATTCTGTAATAAAACAACTCAATTTTACAGTTTCCATTACACATTTGTGGAAATAATTTCAATGATTGGTAAAAATTAAGATTACTTCAATTAACAAAGATGTAATAATGAGAGACATATATCTTTCCACTGTCTATCTGTTTGTGATCCTTTACATCATTGAAAAAAAGCTGGTTACATTGGCAATGAAATATATTTAGCACCTTTATTAACACATTATCTACTAATTTCAATACATGTATCATAGAGACAGTAAATTAAGAAGTTAATACGAGAACAATATTAATGTGTTAAATACGAACTAATGTGTTAAATGCTTGTCACATTAAATTTTATTTTTGTTTTCTTATTAATTTCAATACATGTACTTTTTATGTTAACCCCCTTCAAATCGCATTAATGTCATAAGACATTAATTTCATATAAATTAATTTCTTGCCTTTATTACCATAATTCAAGACTAAGATATATCGATAAAGGCAGTCCTATGCCTATATACATGTAGGTCTTTATTAAACAATGTTACGCAATTTGTTTTTCTTAAGAGTAAGCAGTATGTTGATAACATCATCTCTGTAATTTCTTTTCATGGGCCAATGAGGAAAGATAATACTACCTATTAACAACTACCAGAATATATCTAAATATTCTATTTCAAACTAAAAAGACGTGTTAGCTTGATACATACTATGTGATATCTCTTGTGAGCTTGCACTAAGTTATCTCCCTTGTAAGCTTATTGTAGCAGATCAAGATTTTAACTCAAGATTATGGAATGTTAAATAAAATATCCATCTATTTCTATATTCTAACAGCTACTTCAATCTGCTTTTAGGTAATTTCTAGCTGGTCCTGTTCAAACACTACCATTAATAAAAGATTGGGGTACATACATCATCACCATTTCTTTTAATATGGCATCCATGAACTGAGAAAACTACCCCGTGAACTTGGGGACTGCGCCTTAACTAAGATTATTGGCCATCTGGTGCATAGGGCTTAAGTGTTATGTGCAGAGCGCGAAATAGTCTAGAATTAATCATGAAATAGCTTAATTAATATCAACATATTGTCACATGATACTTACTGCTAGCAGAAGATATAGGAAGAGTTTCAGTACTCTCAGATGCATTACTACTGGTACTACGTCTGCCAAGACTGTCGGTAGCAGATTTATGTACCCATGCTGCCAGATTAGCTAACTGTTCCTCCATTTTATCTATTCTTTTTCTAGAAAGAAATAAAAACAAATCTTTTTAAAAACATCACTTCAATTCATATCAATGTTTTACAGATAATATTTATTAGCTAATTTTATAATAAGAACTAAGAAGAAATATACTGATGCAACTCATTCCAACACCATCAGATCAAAAGTACAACAATGTCAATAATATGCAGACACAATCAACAAATAACTCAATTAATATATACTCAGCCAAATTAAAAACTTGACACTCAGGATTTTTGGGACCAGATTTTTAATATTTGGTTTAAGGCAACTATTTTAGTGTTATGTTGTGCACAGACGACCTTGACATCAACAGTAAGCAAGAATACGTCTCGCCGAAAGTCCTTGACATTGATAACGTTCGTGATGTCACAGTACCCCCCAAAATGAAATTCACAGACTTGGAGAACAATCGGAATACAGTGTTTAGTAACGGTTGTGGCCTCCTCTAGCATCTCGTACTGCCACACAACGTCTTCTCATGGATCTCAGAACATTAGTAAACGTTACCCGAGGAAGACGTCGCCACTGCTCAGCAAGAGCATGTTGAAGGTCCTGCAACGTCAGTGGTGGATTCACTTGCTGACGAACACGTCGACCCAGTTCGTCTGCGGTACTCGGACCCTGCCATCGCCAAATCTCAAAGTGAATCGAGATTCGTCACTAAAGACAATCAAATTCCACTGTCTTTGAGTAAATCTTATGTGTCTTGTGGCCCACACAAGTAGGTTACGGCGATGAAGAGGTGTCAATATTGGTCCATTATAGGGCCTCTGAGCTCGAAGACCAGCAGCCTGCAAGCGATTTCGAACAGTTTGTGCAGTTACTCTTCCACCAAACATCTCTCTACTTGTGGAGGTTGCAGTGAAAAATCTGTTTCTAAGATGACGTAATCGTATTGCTTGATCTTCCTGGAGTGACGTCACACGTGGCGCTCCCGCCCTTGGGCGGTCGGCAATAGTTCCAGTTTGAAGCACTCTCATTCTAAGATTAATTATTGTCTGGCGTGAACAATTAAAGGCTCTTGCAACAGTGACCACAGAATGACCAGCATAGAGCCTACCTATAGCACGTAGACGTTCTACATTTGAAAGGCGCGGCATTTTCTAACAAAGATGAAAATAACAATTTTAATTTGTTTTTCCAGTTCAAGTTACGTGTGCGTGTTCAGTTTAAGCAAACTTGCATCGATTGACCTCACGAGTTTGTGTTTGGACATGTTTTTCATCTTTATATGCTTAAAAGTCACGTGATCCACGTGACTTTACAATTTTATGAAATTAAAGGCTTCTTACTACTTACTATCGTTAGAAACACTTTAAAATTTATTTGACTTACCAGAAAAAAAAAATTGTTGAAATTCATCAGTGTCAAGTTTTTAATTTGGCTGAGTATATTTAAATTTTGTCATTGGTTAAGAGTTAAATGAGAGTAAAGGATAACTTTTTTGTCTTACTTGGAATGGTAATATTCTGGAACTGGTGTAGCTGTTCTTGGTTGTGAAAATGCATCATCTTCCTCTGACTGTAGCGATCTGGCAGGTCGCTGATAATAACCTTCTGGCTGAGGTCGAGCTGTTGTCATTGGAGCGAAGGCTAGAGAGTGGCGATTAGAGGAAGGATGTCTATTACCATTACCTTCAAAATAATAAAACATAAATAAACATTAAAAAATTCTGAATGTGTTATGTGTTCCTGCAAAGTAAGTAGTTAGAACTTAATGGGAATTGACTTATATATTTAAGGTTGAAAGAAAATCTGTCAAAATCTAAAGCAGGAAGCCCAGATATATTTTAGTGAATAAAATACTGTATGAAAAACTCTTAAAAACCTTTATTCTACTCTCAACAACTATCTGAACTCTGTGATATGTTTTCAAAGATATACCAATACCAAAGACCAGTAGTCTTGGGACTGGATACTAAGGATGTAACGAGTCAAAAAAAATTGAACCGGTTAACCGATGGGCAAAAAACCGACCGTGACCGGTCAACCGATTCACTTTTTAGTTGCGGAGTTATTAATCGCCGGACCGTACGCAGGATTAAAGTTTACTTTTTCACACTGTTTAACTTCGTTTTGAATATAAACTATTAGACCCTAAGTCCTAAGAAGAGTTTATTTATTGCAGCTTATTTTGTTTTTCATTCAAATTTCTCGGAAGGAAACATTGCGTCGTCTAACAGTCAAAAAGGTCATGGTTTCACGTGGTCGTCACTCGCCCAGTAGCACATGCCGTTGTGTGACAGATCGGAAAATTGATACAATATTATTAGTGTTCGACCCGTTATAAATATAGGAATATTCTATGGCCCCACCTACCTCCATCTCAATGTGCAATGTTATAATGTAATCCATTAATAAAATATTTAATTCGACGTCTTTATTCGCGCGCACAGCATTACTTTCATTTTCATACGCATTTAATAGTCAACCTGTAGTCAAGATTACCCAGCCCGAAGATACAACGCAATAAGTCGCTCTTTTCTGGAGAGTCTTAGATCACAGTCAAAACATTATTATAACTGTAGGCTTATAGTCCACGCCATTTTCTTAAATTTATATTTATAAATATTGCCGTATTAAAAGCTAATACTATAAAATTTGTATGTTTACCACACGTGACTGAACATGTGACCCCATCGAGTCAATGAAACGACGAAAAGATTATACCATTTGGCCACGTGCCAGAGGGACGAAAGATACTTTGTTTACGGCATAATTTTTCTACTACGTTTTCGAGCAGCGAATACGACCGTTTTATTACCGGGAAAGTTTTGTATCAACGTGTAATATGAACAAGAGAGCCTGGGCTAATGCTAGTTTACTACTAGGTCGATATACACTGACATTTTTATATAGAACGAATAACGGTCACGGGAATATCGAACCGGTCAGGTTGCAGAACCGAACCGTAACCGGTCAACCGAGTAACCGTTTACATCCTTACTGGATACACATGTCTATAACTCTTTAAGCGGGCAAAACTACAACTTTTAACTATATATTATATATTTTATCCTGTTACCACTGTTTGTCGTGTATTTTGTACACGAGGAGCAGTCCATTTGCTGATTACACTATTTTGCTTGAATACACTATTTTGCCTATAATGTTTTTTAGGACTTCGAATTCTGTCTTATGGTTTGGATTGTTCGTACTTGGTTTTATTTTATTTCAAATGGTTGTTTGACGATGACTAACAGAATTTGGTGTTTTAATTACATGTACCGATTTACTAACGGTATTGGCATGTAATCTAAAAAGAGATACTCAACTCCCCGAAACTGTTTTGTTTACAAACAGTACCATATTTTTAACTGAAACTTGTAGATAATACATTTTGGTATCTGAATTTTAAAAAAGCAAAATAATTCATCTTACGTGGATCAGTCTGTTGTGGAACTGGTTTATGTGGTGGGATGTTAGCTGGAGCTCTTGAACTTTTTCCAGGATATGTCTGCACATTTCCGTTCTGTGTTTGATAGTAGTCACCAGAGGGCGGCACATGATAGGCATAGTATGGATTCTCATAACTTGTCGGGTTAGGAGAGAATGGCCGACTTGGTCTAGTCGGAGATGTGGGTTGCGATTGTGGTCGTTGATAATGAACTGATTCATAGGGTCCCCCATTTTGAACTGGACGACCATTTTGAATTAGATGATGTTCAGGAATAGTGCCAAGTAAGCCTCTTTCAGGCGTTGGATGTCGGTCAGGAGAATATCTGGAACGATTCGGTAATGATTTTGGTCGTTCTGGATCAGGTGTCCTTGACCTAGAACGTGACCTCCGCTCTACTTCCCACTGACTTCTATTATCCCCATCCACCATAAGTGTATGATAAGGCTGAGCAGGAACTTTAGCATACTAAAATAAAATAAAGATGAATTACAACTAGACCTGGTATAATTGAAGGGTGTAGAAGCTCTGATCAAAGTGGGATAATTTGAATTAAGGATTATGAATGAGCTTCTACTCCCTCATTCTTCAGCATGGTTCTCCCTCGTAGCTCAATGTATTGAGTATGCCTGTCTTCATTAGCCCAGTCGGAGCAGAACAGTAGGATGTTAAACCCCATTTCATTTACCTCATTCCAGTTCCCTGAACATGGTCCAAGAAAGCTGTCTAATAGTCTCAGTAAATAGCCTACATTACATCCCATTGGTTGTAGGGGAGTAAAGGAGAAAGAGGTGAGGAGAGATGAAAGAGAAGTTGGAGCATGGATCTGTGTTCTTCCATTATAAAAATGGTTAGCATGTACGCGCTGTATCATAATGTCTGTCATTGAGTCAATCGGCATTGTTTCGATTCCCCGGTTGTACGTGACAAGGATTAGGGTCGCCTGTTCAACCTCATGGGTTTTCTTCAGGTCCTCTGGTTTCTTCCCACTGCTAAACACCTCTACGCGCAAGCGAATTATTGAAATACAATTGAACCATATCTTAGTCTTGAAATGACCTAGTTTGTGTCAAGTGGAGTTAAACCCCATTTCTCTCTCACACACATTATGTCACAATCAGGTTAATTAATTTTTGGTTGTGTTGTGGAGTTTGGATCAATATTATAATTTTTCCTGGTGGTTAAAAATATCATACTTTCAGATAAAAGTAAATTTTGCAAGCTGAATTATACTTGAAGTAATATATCTTAATAGTAATATAAGTCAGGCTTACATCGTCCCTTCTTTGTCCTGGTTCGCCATAGTGACCAGTTGGTCTTAAGTTATGAGCTTGACGATCTGGTGGAGCTGATATTGCCCGACCTCTGACTCGGGGTTGATCTTTTAATTTCTGTGGTTTATCACTGTCACATTCATGTATTCGTAATACAGCTCTATCTCTTACATCACTGTAAAGAAAAATAGAATCAAACTAAAAATATCAACACAACTGGGGTTTTATCGACTGTTGGTAAAAGCAATTTAAAACAGTTTATTAGAGCAGGCACCCAATGTTTGTTGGCCAAGTCCATCGAAAGAAGAAACAAAAATGTTCAGAATGATAACATGATCTATATTTCCCCTTGTTTGTTCCACGAAATGGTGCATAGATCTAAAATGTACTCTCAACTGCATATGGGAAAGAAATCCACCATTAACAATACAGTATAACAGTTAAAGAATGTTTAAATTTATTAATCTGTGCTCATCCTTTTTAGAGAATGTTATCTTTGACATTAGTCAGTTTTCAATTAAAAACATGCTTATTGAATCAAACTAGGAAAGATGGACTGATGTTTTGCAATTGTCTTTATAAAACATGTTTTTTACTGACAAGAAGTAGACAGCCGTACAATAGTTGTATGTCACATCTGAATTTATGTACGAATAAATTGACAAATGGTATGTAAAAGATTGGCCACTCCTGCTTTAAATCAATTCAAATAGTTAAGAAATTATCAATTTACCTTAGGTCATCTAGTTGAAAAAATATATTTGTTTTCGGGTCTAAGATATAAATTTTTTGTCGTGGAGACTCCAAAAATTCGAAAGATAATTTTTCTGGAAATGCTCGGACAAACAGAGCTCTAACTGTATCTAGTGTAGTAATCTCATTAGGCAGTAAACATTTCTTCGTTTCTGTACCATAAACTAGAAAGGCAAGACCTGAAAATAATAATACAATTTATTTGTTAGCTATGTAAATTTCTCAGTAGTAAGCACCCTATGCTTCAAGAACCATTTATATACCTAAAGCTGTATGGAGGAAATGTAGAGTATTTCCTGGTTCTAGTACATCTTATTCCATCAGAACTTTGGAACCATTGTCTACTCATAATAATCATTATTCTAAAGTTTGAAAAATATATGTCAAAAATTGTAGCCTCTAGGTAGCTGAAAGCAAACTTACGCCCACCATTAAAGGGTGATTATTATAACTCCAGAATGAAATTAGAGATTATGCTCAAATTCAATCCCAACCGTCGTCTATTCATATGAACCATTATTTTAAAATTTGAAATAGATTCATCAAAATAGAGGACAAGCAGATGGACCGACAACTACATTATACACCCATACTATGTGTGGGTGTATAAAAATTTATAAATGAAACTTTACCTAGCGTTCTATCTAGGGTACTAGAAGGTGTGCGGACTATTGGTAAACTCGACCTCTGAAATCCTCCCCGACTAAAACTATTTGTGGGAGCATCCAGATCGGACATTGTGCCAGAGTCGTCATATTCCAGTGATCTGTTAGGATGATATGTCACGATGGTTGTTTGGCGTCGACGAGGATCACGTGGGCGGGATTGCTGCAAGTAGAAAAAAATAGATCATAAGAATTGATAAAAAGTGTGAGAGGATGTGACTTCCGTTTAGAAGTCAATCCTAGTTCAGTAGTAATTCTTATAATGTCAATGTTAGTTTAGCACCAGACAGATCTTGAGAATGTCATAATTTAATTCAAAATTTTTTAACATTTGGGGAATCATTATTAAATACAGATATTGTGAATCTTGTACATTTGTGAACATCATGAATTGTTAACATCTTAAACATCATTAATGGTTAACATTTGCAAACACCATCAATCCTTAACAAATTGCCAAAATCATGAATTGTTAACATTTTTAAACACCATGAATTGTTCACATTTGTAAACCTCATGAAGTGTTAACATCAGTAAACCTCATTAATGGTTAACATCTGCAAACACCATGAATTGTTAACATCTGCAAACATCAAGAATTGTTAACATTTGCAATCACCATGAATTGTTAATATTTGTAAACATCATGAAGTGTTAACGTTTGTAAACACCATGATGAATTGCAACATCTGCAAACATCATGAATTGTCAACATTTGTAAACACTGCGAATTATTAACATTTGTAAACACTGAATTATTAACATTTGTAAACCTCATGAATTATTAACATTTGTAAACACTAACATTATATTTCCAAGACTGCTGTGAATAAATCTCACATTATAGATCTCTGTAGTGCATAACCTAAGATATGACATACAATTTTTTCATTAGCATTAAATGGACAACAAAAGTTAAACCAAATGTCCTTAATGAATTCATTTAACTAATAGCTTAATTTATGTACTTTTCATTACGTTTTGTTGAGCACTACTTTGTGTTTTAACTATAAATATTCTGTAAAGAGGTAGGGTGTTATAAATAATGTATTGCTAGGACGAACAAGCTATGTGAAATTTGGGTGACACAATAATATCATCATTATGACCTGATTATGTTCTTTCTGACCCAGGTAAAATCTGAAATGTTAATTTGTTATCCCATTACACACAAATATTCATTGTCCCTTTGGTCAACAAAAACTTTCTATATAATTCATCAAATTTTTGTAGGGCAATGGCATAACATTTTAATAGAGATACAGATTAAAAATGGTTAATTATTGTTATATAGAAAGTTTACGACAAATCTACTAAAGCATCACTGAGATATAATATATACTTTTAAACTTTTAATTTAAGTGTTGTATATAGTATTTATAGGTTGATGCTTAGATTTTTCTATAATTAAGAGTCTAAGGTTGCATTGAATATGACATTATTCAAAATATGTTATATCTATTTTTTTGGAGAGAGTGATAAAGCCTCTTTAATCCACTTATAATATAAAATCTATGACATAAATAAACTTATATGTACTTAACACCATGCTTTGTTTACATATAAAATCGCATTTTTTAAATGCTCCATTTACCTTGAAGGAAATCATGACTCACACAAATAAATCCACCATATACATTAACGGTATCATATTGATATGATTATCCTAGGATTCCACATTATTCTTAACAACCGTGTGATTCCATGAATTAATCCAACAATGCTATTATTAAGTTAACACTACTAACAAAAATAAAAACTTTGTTGTACATCATATTTCTGATATATAGTCTTAACGTATCCAAATCAGTTAGTTGTAACATTGATGGGTATTATGTGCATGGCAGAGTATGTCTTGAACACCTGATACACTTAATCTGGTAACTTCACATCACTAAAAAAATTGAAATTATTAGAATCATGATCACAAACAAAGTTTAATTATGCAGCTGTAACCAAATTGAATACATCATTCCCAAGACAGATGATTCTATAATCCACTTTAACATTTGTTAACTAGAACCAGTTGTCCCTTTTACAATATCCCAGTATTATAGATATAGCTAATTGACTTATAAATAACAATACTTAACATGGCCTCATCAATACATAAACAGTTAATCAAATTTCATCCACAACAACATAGATTATTGATTGCTTCATCAAGCAGTTAGAACATTTGGAACCACCAATCTATTGGATACTATGATTAAACACAGAATTCATAAACATTCCTTACACATGTATAAACAAAGCTGAATAGCATGGTACCTCTGTTTCTATACTCCTAATCAAAAAATAGATAATACTGACATCTGCCCTGATCAAATTTTATAATTCTAGGTGATCCCCGTCCAAGCATTACCTTTAATTACAAAAAATGCATTAAGCATGCATTATGTAAGAGCTAAATCTGCCTTTTGCAGATCTTTCGTTTGGCTTCAAATGTTAGACATTTATTCATATGACAAGCTCATAATCAACTCTCTAGAGCATCGGATAGGTATGATTTTTAATGGATTTAAACACAATCGGCAGTTAATAATTCAATAAAAAAAAGGATACATGCAATCAACACTTTGTTTATTATTGTAACAACGGTAGCTGTGACAACTAAGACTACATTATTCTTCAAATGGCCATAACTTTGTTCAGAATGAAGTAATTCGACCGAAACTTTCAATATACTCCCTTTTCACTATCTGTATATTTTAGCTATTATTATATAGAGAGAACTGTCTGCTCCTTATCAAAATCTAAAATAATGCATCTATGATGTCATCAAGACAATGTATACCAGATATTTCAAACTAGCAACCCCAAGCTTAAAAATAGCAATTTACCAGATATTTCAATATGGCAACTCCAAGCTTAAAAATAGCAAACATTTTTAGTAAATCAATCAAATTTGCATATTTTGTTGTTTTTGGAAGTTAATCCTTAGTGGTGTTTCTACACTTTCCAATGGACAACTTTTAGCTATGATTCCACCAGTGTCATCACAAACACAAATTTAATTTTTTGTGCTTTTTGAACAGAAGCATCTAAAAAAGTTATAAAAGTTGATTCTAATAGCAGTTATCATCTGTCTATCAATTAAAGCTGTCACTGTGTCTAAACATATAAATCACAGAGTCAATAATTATCAACCTGTCTATCTGTACCAGCTCTTTATATATCAACAAGACCTTGTTTGTTAATGAAAGAGTCTATAAATTTATTTGTATCCGCCTATTTATAAAACAATGGCATCATCTTTTCAGTACACAGGATGGTGGAATGAAGAAGTAGAAGCTGTTTCTCGGAATTTGTCCTATTTTCAGGATCTGATTCATTTGCTTTTTTATGTCTTAAATGTTAGATCTTTAAACCCATCAAGAAAATATTTATTATCATAAAATGACATACTTTGTGCTTATTGAAACAGCAATTCTTCTATACAGCAATTTGTGTACTATTGTCACACTGTCCCCCACCCACATCCTACATTTTTGCTAAAATATCAAAACATGTCCAGTTTCACACACTACATGTTAAACACTAATTGCCAATTGAATGGATATTTCTTACCATGTAAATGTAATTTTATTACGATTTGACTTGGCTTAAACGTATACCATTTGCTGACCCAAAAAGTGTATAAAATGTAGATTAATTAGTCTAATCTGAATTCCCACAATCTTTATTTATACTCCCAAACAAATATAAAACTAGAAAATTTACACAAATTACCAGAGACATCAAAAACTATTATAATCCAGAGATTAACATTATGCGATCCAGCTTTTCATCTTAGCAAAATTAATCCATTCTTGTCTTAGAATTTCTAATCAAACAATTTGAAGGTTTCCAATCAAACACCTTTTTCAAACTAAGCAAATTTAGAATGACCTGTTACAATTTACAAACGACTTTACATCCCCTTAACATCAAACATGTTGTAATGACAGAAACAGACGGTTTCAATAGACAGATTAGGCAGCCATATTGAATGCAGATAAATATATTTATATAAATCTAGCTAAGGGGTCATTCAGGTGTATCATTGACAGAAGTACAAAACTCACTAACACACCTGTCAAAAGCTAGCAGACGACAGTCATTCGATGTAATCTTACATCACCGCGAACACTTTAACCTGCTAAAACTTAGAGGTCACCATAAATGTTTGCTTTCAAGGTCATGTGAACTTCTATTGGGGGGGGGGTTTACACAAGGTGATCTTTTGTAATAATCAAACCATAAATTTTAACTTTCATTCCTATAAAAACTGTATGAAATGATTTGGATTTATGGCAAATTGTCAAGCCCTGGAAGGTCATCGCGGGTTATGTCAACATGACAGATCTCATAATTGTGATAGCGGGTATAAAAAAAAAATATGGGATGGAGAAAATTAAATCTTTATCAAAAGTGATATTCTTTCAGTAATCATGCATAATTATAAAGAAATGTCTCTGTTAGCCATTTCAAATGAATAAATTAATTAGAGCCTACTGTATATTGGTTATAAAAACCATCCATACCTTGCCTTACTTGAAATCGTCACTACTCTCAGATAGTTTCATATTCTGAGAACATAAGATATATTTTTTTTAAAACAATATACATGTACATGAGGTTGGACAGAACAAGTAAGTGGTATAAAAGGAAACAATGACTATTTCATAATAATCACGCACCCCAAAAGCTATTTATGTACCCTGCAGCACTGTCAAATTTATTATAATACACTCACTGGGAGCTATCTACTCTGCTTTCATTTGGGGAGAGTATACATTTCCTTAACAAAATATTGTAATAATTTTTTAAAAAAAAGACCTGTATATTTTGTTTTCTACTTCTGGACACACCAGATTTTACAAATACGTACTAACGCTTGCTAGATCTATGGGGAAAATCAAGACAATTTTAGTGTGGTAAAAATTAAGAATAGAAACTAATCATTTCTCTAATATGTAGAAGTTAAAAATTAGCAATTTGATCTGAAGTCATTCTCATTTATGCCTCAATAAGAAATGAAATGGGGTTTAATGTTCTATTGTTCTGCTTCGACTGGGCTAATGAAGATGGGCATATGCCATACAGTGTGCTATGAGGGAAACTTTGCCCCCAACAGTGGCACTACAGGCTACTCTTATATATCAAATTTCAACTGCCAAG